ATAGTTTCTACGCAAGCATATAATAGAACACTCAACAAAAGAATAGAACAATTGCTTGGATTTCAGAAGAATCGGACCACCAAATACGCCCAGGGTCAAATACTTGAAAAAGCCGATTGAAATTGTATCTTTATTCCATACAGTCTTCGTTGTTCCTTACTATAGAGTTGATACTACTGTGTTACCTCACTTATAACGAATATACGTTGTATACGAGTACCCCGAATACAACGTATAGTTCGTCTAATTTTACATTGCAAATGCTATGCAAAATTAGACGAGTCATACGTTGTATTCGGAGTACTCGTATACAACGTATATTCGTTATAAGTCAGGTAACACAGTAACAGTTTGGGCCCAGTCTAAAATTGGAGAATCGCGCTTTAAGGCTAGTACCAACAATCAATACGAAACTAACGATTTTAAATTGGCTCACCACTTTAGTAGCCTATTGGTCCCAAGCAAACGATTAACGTACCCTATTCTAGTTGAAATTCTATTACTACACTATGTTTGTTTTGATTCGCTATGAAAGTTTGACAGATAACATGCAGAACATGCAGGGTTGAGTGAAATAGCTTGGGACTGCTTGGGACCGTTGTTCTGGTACTGAGTGAGCCAAAAATAATAATGATTTTCTTCGGGACCCAGTGGTCTTAGAGTTACCTCTATGCTAGTACGCAGCTGAAAAGAAAACAGAAAAGTAATTTTTTGAGGAGTATTCCCAAAAGTCAATTTGACAGCTATAGGGAGGTGTCTTTTGCTATATTTTGAGATCATAGGGGGGTGTCGTCTAGTTTTAAAATCAACAATTAAAAGTTTTAATGTTTTTAAAATGCATCCAAAGCATCATTTTTACAACAAACGTTAAAATTACCTAACGGAATAATTGATCAGGCCATTATTCCGCAAGGAAAGTGAAATTGCATTCAGAATGCGTCACCTTCATGTCAATCACGATACTAATGTAATCAATCTTTCCTTTACCGATTTCTTTTGAACCGCAGAGAACAGACGTCCTAGCTTGGCCAGAAACTTGTGTAAAGTTAAGTGGAAATGGCCGTTACGTAGCGCTAGTATCTCCTGATTTCCTCTATAAATTTATCACTTTCGATCAATTTGGCGCTAGTATCGATAAATTCTCTGTTGAAAATTGCCACTTGGCACTACCAGCACTTAGTGTCTAGTGTAAGTTTTGCAACGCCAACGCCATCATGTGTCAAAGAGGGTTTTTAAGTGGGGAAGTCGCCGTTAGTGGCGCTTAAGTCGAATAGAAATCTTTACACAAGTTTTCCCGTATCAATGTCTGTTCTCTGTGTTTGAACTGCGTACTGGGTCAAGAAATGCTAAGGAAAAGTAATTTCTTTAGCATTCCGTGTCCTTTCTCGTGCACGTAAAAACGTCATTACTTTTCAGCTGCGTACCAGGCTTAAAAGTGTAATTTGATTTCAAAATCAATTGAGCTTCAGATAGCCTAATCAGTAAAGGCACGGTATTACCATAGAGGTAACTCTAAGACCACTGGGTCCCGAAGAAAATCATTATTATTTTTGGCTCACTCAGTACCAGAACAACGGTCCCAAGCAGTCCCAAGCTATTTCACTCACCCCTGCATGTTCTGCATGAATCCACACACCCCTGATGTTATCTGTCAAAATTTCATAGCGAATCAAAACAAACATGGTGTAGTAATAGAATTTCAACTAGAATAGGGTACGTTAATCGTTTGCTTGGGACCAATAGGCTACTAAAGTGGTGAGCCAATTTAAAATCGTTAGTTTCGTATTGATTGTTGGTATTACCAACAATCAATACGAAAGTAACGATTTTAAATTGGCTCACTACTTGACTAGCCTATTGGTCCCAAGCAAACGATTAACGCACCCCATTCTAGTTGAAATTCTAGTACTACGCAATGTTTGTTTTGATTCGCTATGAAAGTTTGACAGATAAAATGAGGGGTTATTGGTTTTTCCTATGTTTCGAGGGGTGAATCGATTAGTTTGGGACCGAAGATAGTACCAGAGCTGAGCCAAAAAGTTGAGCTCGTTTCTTCGGGACCTTCTGGTCTTAGAGTTACCTCTATGGTATTACCATAGAGGTAACTCTAAGACCACTGGGTCCCGAAGAAAATCATTATTATTTTTGGCTCACTCAGTACCAGAACAACGGTCCCAAGCAGTCCCAAGCTATTTCACTCACCCCTGCATGTTCTGCATGAATCCACACACCCCTGATGTTATCTGTCAAACTTTCATAGCGAATCAAAACAAACATAGTGTAGTAATAGAATTTCAACTAGAATAGGGTACGTTAATCGTTTGCTTGGGACCAATAGGCTACTAAAGTGATGAGCAAATTTAAAATCGTTAGTTTCGTATTGATTGTTGGTATTACCAAGCCGGAGGAAATCTTTCAGGTTGGCAATTTTCTTGACATCCCTGGGCATAGAGTATCATCAAATATATTATATTAACAATATGATCCACTCTTTCGCTTAGCTGGCGAACCGATTTTTTAGCGATAAAAGCACCTCTGTGGCCAAAAAGGCTACCAATGTATTTGTTTAATCGTCACAAGGGGTGAACCAAATGAAAATTTGTTTAATATTTCAAATGAATGTATTTCAGCATTTTATTTTATTTGATGACAACAGTGACATGCCAGACAAATTTTAAAGTAATATACACAATGTAATTAATGAAAATAATTCGACTCTTACTTTTGTAATAAGTGCTATATTTGCACCCCTCGGTTGTAATTGAATGATCGTTGCTGACCTTTTTCAACGCTAGATTGGTTGGCATAGAAAGCTCTCAATTAATAACTATGAAAGTGCATCTAGAACACTGAGTTGAGAGGTGGCAAAACGCTCGCTACAGAGGCATAAAAAGCCTAGAAGAATATAATTTCAAAATCATAAAATTTTAAAGCCAACTCATGGCAAGCAATCAAGGTCGGGGATAAATGAAACATCGATCACATTTCACATTACAACAAGTAGGGATTTAATCCGGTAATTTTTCTACTCTAAAAAGCCTTGAACATTCAAATGTGGTTTATACCCCGTTCACATTACAGTGTATATCACGTGATGTACGCTGTCTTGCAATGAGCACTCATACATCTAGTTTTCACTGGAAATCCTATGTATGAGTGCTTATTGCAAGACAGCCTATATTACGTGATATAGGCTGTAATGAGAACGGGGTATTAAAGTGAGTGGGATTTATAGATAAAGTAAACTATGGCAATTAATCATGTTTTGTTGTTTTTGACATCATCCACATCCAGAGGGCCAGTCACTTCGAATGTATGGGACTGGTAGGAAACCATTTGGAAATGCATGAAAGTTTTCAGTTTTTATTCATTCTCGTCTTTATGGGCAGTTTTAGGTGCACAAAAATTGCACGAGTACATTACTATGGTGATAAGGTAAACACTCGTTTATTTGTTTCCTTCTGTGAAAGCACATTTAGTCACAAATCGAGGATTTTCTGATATTCTCCATACTGCAAAAATGATTTTCCTACCACTGAAGGGGCGACATCTCTCGGATCTTCAGTATAGCTACTACTCAAATCATATAATTAATTGGATCTTTTTTCCTTGATTTGTTTTTGTCGCTCTTGTTTTCCGAGATCCATCAACTCATGCACCAGGACCAACGGTTTCCTTAATAAACAAATACCAAACGAACTGTATCTCGGATGGGTAAACTATCCCACAAATAGTTTGGATGATATCCCGAACACGTCGTTATACCCCGTTCACACTACAGCTTATATCACGTAATATAGGCTGTCTTGCAATGAGCACTCATACATAGGATTTCCAGTGAAAACTAGATGTATCAGTGCTCATTGCAAGGCAGCGTATATCACGTGATATACGCTGTAATGTGAACGGGGTATTAAGCTCTCTTATATGGTTATTTTTATTAGGGTTTACTTCTCTTGCCTTGCCTGGCAATTGGATCTGTTTTGCTTCGAAATCGGAAGCTCACGAAGTTCATTACCGACCCGATTATCGAAATTACCGGATGGAATTCGTCGAAGCAAAACAGATCCAACTGCCCTAGCTTACTTTATCTATCAATCCCACGCACTTTAAACAACTCTAAATGTTTAATGCTTTTTAGATTTGACTACAACATAAAAATCCGTATAGTAGTGAAATTATCGGATGAAACAAAAAATTGCAAGCCCATTTCGAATATTGCAACATTCTCTCAGTTTGTTTTAACTGTTTGACATACGAGTTTAATCATACCACAAGATTTAAATTCGATAAATTTGTACATAACTATTGATGTTTTTGGTCCCACTTCCCCCACTGAATCTTAATTTGAATTGTAAATTCCACCACTTACAGTTGCAGACAGTAAAACTACTAAAATTCTACTGACTCATTATTGACTATACACTGTTAATCATTATGGATATAAATGCTCGAAATATCCAAATAGAACCAAAAAAAATTTTTAATGTCACGACCAGTACCACTTTATCAGTAAACTCTCAACGAACTATGACACATCTCACCAGGAAGCAAAGATTAAATGAAAGCAACACTATTCTCGATGGAATTTTTTCGCACGCCTTTGTAATTTACGCGTCTATCTTTTACACACATAATAAGGCATCATGCTGTTCACATCTGGCATTATAATCAATTCCATTCTTGAAGTGTGTTACTCTATAAGAAGATGACACAACTGAAGAAACTTTTTGAAATATGTTGTTATTGATGAAATTAAGCTACTTATGTATTATGAAACAAATAACGGCAGTAAAATAAGTAAATCTGTCTTTGAGTGGTCTAGAATCTACTGGATCTAGTACAAACTTTAATTTGCCTTCGTATTTGGATATACACATTTTTATTTTTCAATTACTAAAATTTAATAAATAATTATACCGAGGCGTCACATAATATAATTATTTTGCAATAAAAATTCAATCAAACTGCAATAGTAACGCGAGCGTACTGATAAGGACCTGTATTCGCTTCCGGTCGCTCCACTATATGAAGGCACATATGCTCGTCCAGTATCACTGACTTAGAAAGCCACTACTTAGTGGGTACGCACTGTTCCACTGCGCTTGGAGATGTTCTTCAGGCAACGATCCGCGACAAACTGAATTCCTTTCAAACAACGCCGGGGCATCTCGCCAGACTCGGAGGAATTCCGACGTTTTAATTTATAAGAGTGAAACATGAGTCACACTTCTTGGTGATAAGTACGAACATTCGTACATCGATCCGATCATATTGCAGGCCATGTGCTCATTCGGGTTGTTTGGGCACGATCGGTTTGCTGAGTGCAGCGTTGCTAAGCAACGTGAAAAGGCGGTGATACTAATATCAATCAAAGTGCGACCCGGGCTAGTCATTTGTTTATTTGTTTTTATTAATATATACGATTTGTTTTTTGCCTTTTTATTATCCAAGAGTTACAATAATTATAAATTAAGGTAATAAGCAAATACAGATTATTACGTTGTTGCATTTCCTTTGTCACTTTTTTGCATTTTCTCTGAGTTGTTGTCTCGTCTCTCTGCACGACTTCGTGTGCACGTGATTGTAGCTCATCCGCATGCTAGTGTCTAAATTTCTTCTGCATTCTGACATATTATCTATTTTCATTCGCTTCTTTTTCAATAGTTTGTACCGTACATTTTCTCTTCATTACTTGCCATGCTGTTTGTATCTTAGAACATACCCATTTTCGTTTCGTTTTATTTTCCTCGTAAATTGCTGCTTTTGGAATCAGTTTTTCAACGCATATCAGTTTTTAAAATTACATTTCTGGCAGATCATCTACAGTTCGTGTTGATTAAGGGAAACAATATTTTTGTATCATTCTGACCATATTTCCCTTGACGCCAGATGATACGTTACGATTGAAACAAGGTTAAACAAGAATATCAATTAATCATTGTTGTTTATTTGTTTATGTTGCAATTATTTACTACTAACTAGGAAACTAATCACAATTTGTTGTCATATTTGTTAAATATTCTGATTCATATTTCGTTATTGATCATACCTACTTTAATGTCGGTTTGGTAGTTCGCTTCAGTGTGTTGTGTTGCTGGTTTACAAGTTTTTAAACAAAAAATGTATGGTTTAAAAGATGAAAACAAACATAAGAATTCCAAATTTACGTAGACTTTTAATCTAGCTGTTGTCGGCATGCGAGGTTCTTCTTTCCAGAATTTTTCAACTTTTCATTTTCCTCAATATTCGAGGATCAAAAACCTCATATGGGTATCGAAACGTACACGGGAAAAATCCGTTCCGAAATTCGTCAACCTCCAGTCACGATTTTTGGAACAAGTAAATTTTTCGTTTAAGAAAGTACACCATGAATAAAAATCATGAAATCGTGAACATTGTTCCACAAAATAAACGTAACGCCTTCAAACGCAACAAAAGTCATAGAATCGTGAACTCTGTTCGGAAAATCATGATCTAGTTCTGGCAAACGTGATTTATGTTCATGGGTTGTGATTGATACCGTGAACCTTGTTTTCGAAAACGGGAACATGGCTCATGAACTGTAAAATGTCAACTTCATTATAATTACCAATATTTTAAATGGAGTGAGGAAGTGGAATGAAAACAACGGAAGCCTTGATGCAGGTTTTACCCGCATCCCAAACTGGCAGCAGGTGGAATGAACACACTTTCAGCCGAGTTTTCAGCTCAACAAATCAACACCGGATGCGTTCGAGGATTTTTTTTTTCTTCGTTTACGGGAACTAAGTCATGAATTCAAACGAACTAGCAGTTCATGATTTCGTGATTTGTTGTTCACGAATACCGGAACGGTTTTTTTTTTGCGTGATGATTGAGGCTAAGAATCCAAAATTTTATAACTTTGAAAATATTGAAACTATTTCACGCAAGTACTTCAACATCTTATACGGCTTTCAGACCATATTGATATAAGATGTCCAGTGAAAGTTTGGCGAATAGGCGGTCATATCAAGACAGCCAAACTTTCAGCTTCGCATCTCATCGCAGTTCGGTCTGTCTGTTTACATGAGAAGCTGAAAGTGTTCCGAGGTATATGGATGCAATCTGGTCCATTAATTGTCTTTTACGTAGTTTCAAAACTCTTCTGTATGGAAAATCATAGATGTTTGTGAGTTGAATGGAACAATTAGATAAAAGCATGAAAATGTCCCCATGGGGGACATTACCGGTACCGTTTCTTAGTTTCCATGGACCCGAAGGTGACTATAACAAAGCATTATTGTTCTTCTGTAGTACAGTCATTTAAAAATATAAAATCAATCACAAATGCTACAAGACTTGATTAATGCATTCTAGAATGTCCGTTTAATGGGCATGGTAGGAACTCCACGGGATTTTGGCCAAATTCCAGAATAATGATAATAACAATAATCATTGAAGCACTTCCACAGTTATTAATTGAGTGCTTTCTATGCAAACCATTGCATGAATTTGTATATTAGACTGATGCAAAATTTGACTTTTTCGCTCCACAGTGCTTAAATGGTTTCAAATCGGGTCGTGAATAGCCTCCAAAAGTTACAACTCATTTGGTTAGAAACAGACTTCGCACAAACCATTTGAAGTTTTCATGTAAATTACTATGGGAAATCTCAACTTTTTGTTCATTGCCTTCTAGTCTTTTTCCATACTGAGCTGCGAAACAGCTTGATAGCTATTCTTATAGAAAATTTTTTCAGCTTCAACTTTGCTGAAGATCGTTTCTATGTAAAACAAGACAGGAAATAGTTATTAATTATTTAAGAGATTGGTAAACTTATGACATGATCAAGCAGCTGCTCTGTAGGCAACACTGTATTTTGCAGTGTGTCATAGTAGCCATAATTTTTATGTCCTATTCAACGCCCCAGAAACACCAATGTTGCCTGCTGAGCAGTTGATTGAGCATGATCATAAGACATCAGTGCATTGAACTATTAATAACTTTCGATCCTTGCATTTAATCAAAAAGTGGTCTTTATCAAAGTTGTAGCTGGGAAAATTTCCTACAAGTAAAATTGAAAGCTTTTGAAGCAGACCGATATGGTGAATTATTAGATAGACATGAACAAAAATCTTGGTTTTACCACAGTCATTCCCATACAAACTTCAAATGGTTTGTGCCATTTCAGTTTCTCACCAAATTGGTTCAAATTTTGAGAGGTTAGTCAGGATCCGATTTGGAATCGTTTAAGTATTGTGGAGCGAAAATTTCAAATTTTGCATCACTCTATTGTATATTCTATGTCTAGGAAAATCGAAAAAATTCGACAATACGTCACTGCACGTAGGAATCTTTGTGTTGATTTTATTTAAGATCATGTCTTGTTTTTACATAATTTGACAAATCTATTAGACTGTCTCAGATTTTCGTGAAACTTGCATAATGTTTCGATGTGATAAAAACAAGGAATAAAATACATAAATAAAACACACGATCATTCACGGTAAGTAGTGCCAGAAAAGAACGATGAGAAGTATCTTCGTAGCAGCTGTCGAGGCAGATGGAAATCGAAGATGCTCGAGACTTGATTGAACACTCGTTGCAGCCCACCTATTGCACCGTTCATGTCATAGTTTGTGCGCTGAAGTGGCAATCTCAGCATAACGTTGTTACATAGCGCACGGGGTTGAACGTTAATTTTGACTAGCTCCAAGATTGCACTGCAGTCAATTCTATCTTGTAAAGTCCCCAATAAACGGGTACCATACACTAACGATATCATAGATGGTACGACCGTACCACATACAGTTGGGCTTATATCCCGAATTGGTGGTTAGGCGCTTCTTATGGTTATTGTTTATGCGGGGTGTCCACGGTGAACAGGGCCCTAGAGGTATCTCTTTTAGATCAATCAAATCAATCAGCTGGCAACGACTTCCATAGCCGGGCAGATGAAATTTGTCTCTCCAAGGCTGCTTCCGCAGAGCGAACCGAAGAAAACGGCGTGGAATAGACTCAACTCTCTCAGCACCATTGTTTGGACTCCAGACCACAGAACACTATTCCAGAATGGATCACACCAAGGAACAGTACAGTGACTTCAGACAGTAGATGTTGGAGAATTTCTTTGCTATCTTGAAGAAAAAGCCCAATGTCCTACCGTATGCGTGATAATGTTTGCACCATCGTACAAATAAGGTTCCTGTTTCACCTGTGCATACAATGCCTTGGCTTTCTTTGCATGCTCGTAACCTATAGCTCATACCGTAGTAGGCTGTGTATAAAAGAAAATGATTTACTTAGTTTGACAGTTGCACCATGACGAAGTGGCAGTCGCAAAAAGAACATTTCAATCGCCGTGGGAGTGTCCCGGTGGACCGTCAAAAGGGTTTTAGACCGAGAAAAGAAAGGACAACTATCCGCGAAGGTGGCCACAGGTCGTCCGAGGTCAGCTCGGGGTCCGAGGGTTATCGCTGCTATCAAAAGGAAGATTCGGGTGAATCCAGTGCGTTCAATAAGGAAAATGGCAAAGGAACACGGGATCAGTGACTTTACGGTACGGAAGATCGTAAAGGAGGATTGCGGGGCGAAGTCGAGGGCACGGAAAAAAACTAACATGCAAGAAAATCTTGAACTTCCTTAAGCGAAAAAATCCGGTAATCCTGTTCACCGACGAGAGCATGTTTACCGTCGATCCCGTATCACATTCCAGAACCGACCGGTATATTAGTTCTCTTTTGGTAAAAGACGTGGCCGACGAGCACAAGAACGTGTTTCTCACAAAGCATCCTGCTAGCGTTATGGTGTTTGGATTGGTGGCTTCCGATGGCAAAAAAAATGGACCCGGTGTTCATTCCAGAAGGCGACAAGGTCAACATGGACGTCTACATCGGGATTTTAAGTAAGTATGTTATTCCGTGGATCAAATAACAATACGGTCCGAAGCCAAATGTTGTATTTCAACAAGATGCGGCTCCGTGCCACTCCTCGAACCGCACTCAGAAGTGGTTGCAGGAACATCTTCCGTTCTGGGCGAAGGATATGTGGCCTCCATCCAGCTCCGATCTTAATCCGCTGGATACAC